AACATTTCAAATGAAAACTAAGGAGATGCTTCAGAGAAATACCTGAACTAGCAAGTGGAGAGATGTAGCTCATCCCTGCAATAGTGCAGAAGCCAAAAGGAAGCTAGTACATAAGGAAAAAAAAAAAGGTATCTGACTGAGCAGGCAGTCCTCATGCTTTATTTTTGTTTCATAGGCAACAGATGTTTTATGTAATACTCATACGACCATTGGAACAGTCTATCTTCTGAACAGTCACTGTATACTTGTTAAATAGTTCTATCCTTTCCGTTTCCTTCAAGTAAAACAAACATGGAGACCACAGATATTTATGTGACCCTTAAGATATCTAGAAGCAAGGTTTTCCAAAGGAAAATCTGTAATGAGTCAGACATCTAAATAACAGCAAGATGAACAACTTTGAGAAGCACTTGAACTCCGAATGGGTTTATCTTTTTTTCAAAATCTAGCTACTTATGTCACTGCCTACATGTGGCCCAAATTCTTCTAAAAATGTGGTCCAGACTATGTATATGAAATTCCATTGAAATTCAGTCCTTGGTATGCATCTTCCCACACCACTGCAAAGAACAGGTTTGTAGTAAGAAAAAAAAAAATTGACCCAAGTACTTAACCAAGTAAGTGCAGACTAAAAAGCCTGGCCAAATTATTTTTCCAGGTATGTTTGAGGTCTAAATCTGCTCATCATCTTTATACAAACAGCCAAAGAGAATCAATCAGGATTCTTCAAATGGCTGGTCTTCAGAACTGAGACCCAGCTAAAATTCTTTCGCACTCAATATGTTGACATGAGGTTCTCGATGCGTGTAGCTGACAGGTTTGGTCATAACGTTGAACACAACCACCAATAATCACAATGCCCTGTTTCATGCTAAGATGAAGAGGGAAGAAAGTTTCAATGTGGGCACTCAAAACTTTTTGGGGTGTTTTTCCAAGAGCAGATGTTTGTAGGAAGTCTGTATTACATCAGACTGCTATATTGTTTTGACAGGACACAAAATGTCCCTGTAGTAACACTACACGGGCAGCTGTCATTATACATCCAGCATTATCTTTCAATATAGTTATGGGTATATACAGAATTTGTATTACTGCCAATTAATCAGTCGTTGTCACTATTTGGTTATCAAGCAAACAATCTGGGAAATCTGAACCATTTGCACTCCCAACGGTGCAGATTCCTCTCAATTTGCAGAACAGGCGATCAGGTCCTTTGCTTCCTAATGCTCAGAAAGCACTCGGGAATTATTTTTTCTCAGAAAAGAAACCATCAGATACCATTTTATACTCAATTTGCCCAGACTTCTGGAAACATCTATTTCATTGTAGGTATGCCCAAGATGACCGGTATTAGAATAATCACTTCAGTTTACTTTGTGTAAAACTTGTTACGTGGTATCTATGCTTCCAGCTTTGAAGGTTGATCTTTAAGATGGAGGAATTTAATTCCCTCATCTGCTGAACCATATAGGAAAATATGATGTTCATATAAGGCATACAGAAATACTTTAGATTCCTTAGCCTTATCCAGTAAAACACAGGCTATGTTCAGCTTTATTCTTGTTCGTTTGAAACAGAACCACCATGCTGCATCACTCTTGAAGAACGAGACATTATGAAATTTATGGGGGGAAAAACCAACATGAGAAACTCACATGCTAACCAAGAGGGATTTTACTGCAATGAGGGTGTATTTTAAAATTACACCTCACACAATGTTTGGGATTGAATTTTCTCATTAACAGAGGAAAAGTAAAAACTTTTTTTCAAATGGCATTTAAGTCATTAACTATGAGTATGAGTGAACATGCAGGGCTGATAGATAGCTCTTTATCAGAGGACGGGTTCAAGCATGCATCGTGTTAGTTCCAGCTTCTCCAACATGGCCCCATCCATCTACTCCTTTCCTGACATCTAACAATATAGGTTTTAGTTTCCATTCTTATTGAGTCATTAGTCTCTCTGTGGATACTGGAAATAAAAGCAATCACGTATGGCTAATTGGGGTGGCTATCAGATGACAGAATCTGTATACTCCAGTGGGGACTCAAAGGCAGGGAGAGAAACGGAGGGCTTCAGATTACGCACCCGTTAGTGGAAATCAACCGGGCATTTCAAAATGAGAGATTACACTGTCGCTGACAAAGAGTATCTTTGCCACAGGAAAACCATCAGGTGTTAGCTGTTCTTCTATAAATATAGTGTGCACTTCATTTACAAAAAGAAAATTCAGTTTTGACAACCAACAATAAAAAAAAGTACTTCCTGTTGATCTCACAGTACACTAGTAAAGCCATGCCTGGACTTAAAATTCTCTAATGAAATAATAAAGGCATGTTTATTGCTATACAAACAAACAAGAAAAAATCCTTGGCTTTTTCTTCACTAAGATAACGTTGTGTACCAAATTCTGCTGGGAGCAACAAACTGAGTATTGTGTCATGTTCTTTGATCTCCCTTGAAAACCACTTCTTTTAGTATACAAAGGCTGGAAGACGAGTGATAGGGAAGACAGAAAAAGAAGAAAAGAGGGAACATTGTACTTTTCTGATCTTCGACTGTCTGATGACCAGAGGACAGAGGGTTTGTAGGGAACACTACGGTTACATGTAATGTAGGAGAATGTCTGAGGCAAGAAGAGCTCCTCCTTGAAAGAGACTGTAATGGCTGCACATTCACTCATGCTATTTAAAGGTGGGTTTGGACCAGTTATTCACGACAAACATCATAAATGTTTCTTCGTGACTGAAGAAACAGTCATCAGTGAGCTAAACTGGATTTGAGTAGAGTTCGGAAGGCACAATCCTTCTAGGCTAGCAGCTACGCTAGATTCAGCTCCACTCATGTTAGTGAGAGTCCATTCTGAGTATTGCATCATAAAACCTTTCTCAAAGCACATCTAGCCTACCTGACTCTTTCAAATGGCACCAGAAATTAGAGGCGTGTCCAATTTCTTTTAGACAGATTATGCTGATAGCTAAAAATCACTGTTAAGATGTGAAGACAGACAACCGTATATTTTTCCAGCATATACATACCCTTAGAAATCAAGTCTGAAAGATCTGAAGGAGCCTACAGATTGAGTAATTTGAGTCTCTTCCACTGCCTGCTTGCCAAACCCTCCCATTAATTCCAGACTAAATAACATGTAGCAAAACAACATAGGTGAATTTGGTCAATACTTTCTTTTTAATGTTCTCCTTTGCACAGAAACAAGCGACCTTTGAGTTTTTCAAATTTTCCACAACCTTAACTCATCTTAAGATATTTATGAAGTCAGTCACATTTTCACAAAGCCTACCTTTTTATAAGGGAACTGTCATTGTGATACAGCCTATTGTAATCAGAATACTCCAGCCCACCACATGCAGAGATACAGCCCAAACCTGGTCCTGAAATGAAAGTAAACCATCCTCCCAACTTACTGAGCACTGATGCATTATTTTAAGACTAGTTTGAATGACCGTAAAAATAAGGAGAATTAGACTTAGACCTCTATTTTCTCAGTGCTAGTGAGCTCCATTTTTGTTTTTCCTTTTTCCCCTCTTTCTTCCATATGTGTGTTCATGTGTACTTGGCTATTATAAGCAGTTGATCAATACCGACGTTACGCCTCAAAATTCATTTCAGAGGGATGACTTTTATGGCTCCCATGATTCTTAAGCCGCCTACGGTATTTGTAACTCACAGAATCAGAAACTAACACACAGACAGTGTAGCTTTTCATACAAAGGCACAATAGGAATGAATGTATTAACCTCTGTGGTGCATGGAATGTGTCAGCTTACACACTGGCAGCTATTTCTGTGAAACTCAGCTAACTTCCGCTGGCTGTGTTAAAATACAAAAAAAAAAATCTTCCCCAGAACTATGTCCCACGCTCTCGTATGCTGGCCAAACAACTGAAATATCTGATGCTGTAGAGAGTCTACTTCACACTGATGCTGGCCAAACTGAGTTTGAGAATGCGTTTCACATGTACTGTTTATAAATGCTGAGCTTTTCCAAGCAGGTATAAAGCTCTGCCGTTCCATGTGACTTGGCAAATAATAATGAGCAGGGAGATGAATTAGCAATGGAGAGTATGGGATTTTTTGTTGCTGTTTCTACAAAAGAGTGTCAATCTGGATTTGCAGAACTAGAGATGATTTGGAGCTTGATTTCATTTTAGTCCTGAATTTTACCCGGCTTCATCCTACCAGCAAAGCATACATGGCATGTAACAAAATCCAAACTGTGGAGATGGACATCGCATTGTCTTAATTCCAATGACTTGACGAGGGTCGTGGGGCTGATCAGGAACACCTGCAGAACATTTGCACCGCTACCATTAAGACCCATGGACACCTCCTCCAAAGTTTAGAATGATATTGAGAGTTTTGAATCAGACCCGTCTGGCTACCAGGCCAACTCTTTAATGTAACTCAAAAAAAATTCTTTACTATCTTTCCACCTGTTTTCTAATTGCCTATGTTACGTTACTATAATCGCTAATTATCTGCACTGCAGCAGTGCCTAAAATGTGCTGGGTACCATAAAACACTGTAGGAGGGGCCAGTCACCGCTCTGAAGAGCTTACAGCCTAAAAGGACATAATCACGTTAAGCGACTTTTAAGCAGTTTAAAAGTGCTTGTCAGGACAGAGCTTTTTCGCCCGGCACCACGTTTCCGTTTGCTGGTTTACACCTCGCCCGCCTTCCCAGCCTGCATCAGAACTACCTCATGGAAAAGACAAGCAAAACATACTGCTCTGCGGAAATTCAAAGTACAAACCTACAAGTAGTCAAACTGACAATAAAGACACACAAACGTAACAAAAATTTCCCCCACGGTAAAAGGCAAATGTGTATGATTTGACGATCATTGCGCTTCAGATGCAAATTTCACATGAAGAGAACAGACCAAAGCCCCCTGTTAATTGCATTGTGTTCAAATGGAAGAGAAAACTGGTTTTCATATTTACTTAACCTTTGCCTCTTGGGCATTGTTTTTGGACTTACCTGCAGTTGGAGCGGGCCTAAGCCTGGTGTTGCTGCGGCAGCAGCTGCCATGGGAGTTGGGATCCGCTGAACCGGGGAG